TTACTTAATAGCTATTCTTTGAGAGGGGCCAACTACATGCCCCTTACCCCCGCAGTGCATCGTTGCATTCTTCTTGTCCTACAAAACCCTTAATACAGAGGGGGAAGGAGTCCAGGAAAGCTGGCTGTATTTTAAAGAAGCCTTATTGAGGGCTCAGGAACAAACCATCCTGATGTGCAGAAAGAATAGCAAATATGGCAGGCGACCAGCTTGGCTTAACAGTGAAATCTTCAGTGAGCTTAAACGCAAAAAGGAAGCTCACAAGAAATGGAAACTTGGACAGATAACTATTAGGGAGGAGTATAAAAATATTGCTTGAGCATGCAGGAAAGGCCAAAATACAACTGGAGTTGCAGCTAGCAAGGGATGTGAAGGATAACAAGAAGGGTTTCTACAGGTACGTTAGCAACAAGAAAAAGGTCAAGGAAAGCGTGGAACCCTTACTGAATGGGGTAGGGAACCTAGTGACAGATGTGGAAAAAGCTGAAATACTCAATGCTTTTTTTGCCTCGGTCTTCACAGATAAGGTCAGCTCCCACACTGCTGTCCTGGTCAACACAATATGCGGAGGAGGTGAGCAGCCCGCAGTGGTCAAGGAACAGATTAAGGACTATTTAGAAATGCTGAACATGCACAAGTCCATGGGTCCAGATCTAATGCATCCCATGATGCTAAGGGAATTGGCTGATGTGATTGCAGAGCCATTGGCCATTATCTTTGAAAACTCTTGGCGATCAGGGGAGGTCCCCAACGATTGGAAAAAGGCAAATATAGTGCTCATCTTTAAAAAAAAGGAAGAAGGAGAACCTGGGGAACTACAGACCGGTCAGCCTCACCTCAGTCCCTGGAAAAATCATGGAGCAGGTCCTCAAGGAAACCATTTTAGAGCACTTGGAGGAGAGGAAGGTGGATTCACCAAGGGCAAGTCATGCCTGACCAACCTGATTGCCTTCTATGATGAGATAACTGGCTCTGTGGACATGGGGAAAGCAGTGGACGTGATCTATCTTGACTTTAGCAAAGATTTTGATACGTCTCCCACAGTATTCTTGCCAGCAGGTTAAAAAAAGTATGGATTGGATGAATGGACTATAAAGTTGATAGAAAGCTGGCTAGATTGTCGGGCTCAACGGGTAGCGATCAACGGCTCGATATCTAGTTGGCAGCCGGTATCAAGCGGAATGCCCCAGGGGTCGGTCCTGGGGCTGGTTTTGTTCATCATCTTCATTAATGATCTGATGATGGGATGGATTGCACCCTCAGCAAGTTTGCAGATGACACTAAGCTGGGGGGGAGAGGTAGATATGCTGGAGGGTAGGGATAGGGTCCAGAGTGACCTAGACAAATTGGAGGATTGGGCCAAAAGAAATCTGATGAGATTCAACAAGGATAAGTGCAGAGTCCTGCACTTAGGACAGAAGAATCCCATGCACTGCTACAGGCTGGTGACCTACTGGCTAAACAGAAGTTCTGCAGAAAAGGACCTGGGGATTATAGTGGATGAGAAGCTAGATATGAGTCAGCAGTGTACCCTTGTTGCCAAGGCAACTGGCCTATTGGGCTGCATTAGTAGGAACATTGCACTGGTGAGGCTACACCTGGAGTATTGCATCCAGTTTTAGGCCCCCCACTACAGAAAAGATGTGGACAAATTGGAGAGAGTCCAGTGGAGGGCAATGAAAATGATCAGGGGGCTGGGGCACATGACTTATGAGGAGAGGCTGAGGGAACTGGGCTTGTTTAGTCTGCAGAAGAATGAGGGGGGCGATTTGATAGCAGCCTTCAACTACCTGAAGGGGGGGTTCCAAAGAGGATGGAGCTCGGCTGTTCTCAGTGGTGGCAGATGACAGAACAAGAAGCATTGGTCTCAAGTTGCAGTAGGGGAGGTCTAGGTTGGATATTAGTTAACACTATTTCACTAGGAGGGTGGTGAAGCACTGGAATGGGTTACCTAGGGAGGTGGTGGAATCTCCATCCTTAGAGATTTTTAAGGTCTGACTTGACAAAGCCCTGGCTGGAATGATTTAGTTCGTGTTGGTCCTGCTTTGAGAAGGGGGTTGGACTAGATGACCTCCTGAGGTCTCTTCCAACCCTAATCTATGATTCTAGTGCAGCTTAACCAGGAATAATTCAGCTCTGGGCACTTCATTGTCAGAAAGCTAACATATGAGATGAGATAGACAACAAAAATTGTTAGGTTGCTGAGAGAGTTTACATAAGGAGAAATTTGGTGTTATTAGACAATGTACTATAACACCCTTGGAATGTTAATATTTGAATGGTAAATGTCAATATTTTAATTCAGACTACAATAATATACGATAGGATTAGCTTTTTAACTGATGATCACCAGTCCGGGAAATATCGAAACCAGCACAGCTCCTCAGGTGTTTCCCCACACCTGCATGATTGGGTCAGGTATTTTTGTCTACTGGGCATTCACCATATTCCTGTTTCCTACATTTGAAAGCAAGAATAGATTAATTCAGCATATGATTAAAGTTATTGATGTGCTAGACCAAGTTTTAATGGAACTCTCTTAATCAATTAAACCATATAACAGGAGAGAGACCTGCAGTAGCCAACAACTTTCTTTTTAATAAGACACTTACAAGTGTCAATTATTTTCACTAATCAAAAGTCTATCTAATGGTTGGATGATTTTGTTCTATGTTTAGTGCATTTTATAGCCACACAGGAGACTTGGGTTCTATAATTTGGTCTTAGTCTGACACACTGAGGGAGTCAATCAACTCTTGCTGAGGACAGTTTATACGTATAGCTCTGAAACAAATATGTAGCAGGGGAAAAAAGTGTTAATGGGCTCCTAGAGAATCCTCCAGGCCCAGATAAAATTGTGGGTATGAAACAGACTGAAGTGGGGGCTTTTCCTTGTGAGTGCAGGAAAGTCTGGCAGATTAGAAATAGGCATTTGTTAACATTGAGAGGACATTGCTGTTCACCTTCCTAGCCTTCCAGACTCTCTCCCTGGCTCACCCTAAAAAACTCCCACCATCCTCCCGATATTAACAAGAAACTTCAGACCCAGATACCTCTGTGCACCAGCTGCCCTCTTCCCTGAAACATAGAGCATTTGACAGCACAGGGATTTTGAAAACGGTTCCAGATTGACCACCACCAGAGTTTGGTGTGAATCACCCACTGCATCTGAATGCATGCAGTTCAAGAAAGAGGGCAGCAGCCGGTGCACTGTCCTGGCTCCCACAAGGTCAGACAAAGCTGTAACCGCTGGAAGGTGGAATGGAAGAGCTGCACATAAGGACTGAAGAGCAAAGGAAAGTCAGACTGAGGCAGCTTGCCAGTTATACTGAAAGGAAGACTAAAGGTAAGGTGATCAGTATCAGTTCAGATATTAGGGGATCCAGAGAAAAAGCTCATTTTTGTACAGCATGTCAACAAATGTACAGTAAAGAGCAATCCTGCTCTGACAGGAACCAGACTAGCTAATATCTAATGGAATCTATAGTGAAATGATCCAATTTGCTGTTCAGAATATGGCTCCCTATATTTTCAATAAGCAATTAGTTCAAAACAGAAAAGGTAGGCAGAAGACTAACCTATTAAGATTAGAGTAACACACTGAAACACTGTCAAGGAGACTGGTATTTTACTCAGGATGTGTGTTTTAATGGATACTGAGAGAGACAACCAGTCCATATCATTTGAATTGGATAACTGTGTAAACGGAACAAAAGATTTGAGGGAAAGGTAGCACCTGAATCAAACAGCCTGGTTTTTAGAAATGCTGTGCATCTGGAGCCTCCATTAGACTTTAGGATGAGGCTACTCAACAATTCTTAAAAAACCCTTAAAAGTCAAGTTTACCTGCAAATTCACTTAACTGACAGTGCAGAAAATCAGTGCAAGTTTTTATAACTTTGCACAATTTGCTTTACAAATCACAACTGCTTGACTAGAGTAATGCAAGTTTAATATATGCGATTATGAAAATCTGCACTACAATGAAGGAGTTCTGATGTAGATAAAATAAGTGATGATGTGGTCCAAAAAACAAATAAGAACAAAAATGCAATACCACTTCACTTAGCAGATGGGCCCTTGTGTGTATTCAGCATTCCATCAGCTTACTTTGAGACATTTTCATTACTTTATTCCTGTCAGTGTGTTGGCCCTAAAAACCCACCATGGGAGAGTGAGCTGGATTGTCTTACAGCTCACGCATCCAAATGAGTTTCAAATGCAGTTATTTTTAATAACTGGTGATCATGTGAAAGTCAGAAACAGACTTTCAGATCTCAGGTCTGGCTTCAAGTAAAGAATTCTAAGAGATTAGCACAGAACCCCAAGTTACTCTGTACATATACAATAGTCACTTTTCAAAATATAAACCTCATTTATATAGTTTTGTTTCCCACATTACTGCATCTGTAGGAGCAGAAAGCCTTTGTTTTGTAGATGAAGTACAATACAGTATTTGAAAAACTATGATGCACTACATCCCGAATACATTTTAGCATATTCCCCCTTCCCCTCCAAAACAGGAAAGTAACATGGAAGACAGATAAATGTATTAGGTTACTGTTCTAACCATTTATTTTTTGTTTCAAGGTAACATAGTTCTTTTGATGCATTTATTTCTTTTCAATCTTCTATATAGTCATAATAAAGAAAATCCTCCAATTTGTCAGAATTTTCTTTTGATTTATACAAATGAAATGATCACCATAAATGTTACACATTGGAGTGTAGATCAAAAAGTGCACAATAATCTGTCCTGCTGTTCAGTTATTTTCATGTGTCAATGCCTAATACTGTACTTTGAACAATAATACTGTTTTCACTGCATAAACTGCTTGAGAGAGGATACAATCACTTTGGTAATGTCCAACCATCATTTCACAAAGCAAACAATATTTGTCTTTAGTTTTGTTCACAACACTGCTAGTGTGGCGCTCTGAACCATCTCATCAAATACAGAATTGCAGACATTTGAATAAAGCTTGATTACTCTTTTTTTCTTTTAAATACATCCAACATTCTAAGACATTTATTAATCCTTCTTCCTCCTCCTCCCCACATTTAATACACAATTCACCACAACTTGAACCAAAGGAAAGTGAACTAAAACAGTACACAAAAAACAGTGTCTCAGGTGTCCTTTAATGAAGATATAGGATCTGTATTTCCAAAGGGACAGATGTACAATGGGATTTGGAAGAATGAAATAGCAGCTCTCTCCTTGCATCTGCTGCAGCACTCACTTTAACATAGCATGGTTTAACATCTCAATTTTTTATAATATATCACACAACAGCACAGATTCCAAGGGTACAAAAATGTGCCCATTAAAAAGGACTTATTTGGGACCCCCCTCCACCCCCCAACTAAGGGTCATTTGGGACTTCATTGGCCCTAGTTACTGCCCGTTATTTTTAATTGCCAAATTCAGAAGGTAGTTCAGTACAGTACTTCAGTTTACCTAGCCAAACTTGTTTGTAGGAGATGTCAAAGGTTTTAAAGAATGGCTAGTGATTTGTTGGTGCCCAAATTGGGACTCCCTAAAGGGGCCTGATTTTCAGACGGAGGGTGCTCAACACTGTCAGAAAATCTGGCCCCTGTAAGCGATCTCAACAGACACCCAAAAATTGTGGTATCCACAATCACTAGTCACTTTTGAAGGATTTGGTCTTTCATTTTCAACTTGCGTTCAAAATACATCACTGGCCCTTGACTGAACCAAGTTAATACCTATCCAGTTCCATTGCCTGAGTCATCTAAAAAGTAAGAAGTCACAAGGCATGTTTAGTCATGCAGCATCCAATTCCTCACAAGTGCATTGTGCTGCATGTCAAAAAAAGCCTCATTTAGTGTGCAGTTCCAACATCTTACTAGTACTGCATCTCAAGCCATCACAGTAAGGGTGTGCTTGGTTACAAATGTCCATACTGTAAGACAGTAGGTCTTAAAGAGATATATATAGTCTCAGAGAGAAATTTTACAGTCTGAATATGAGAGATTGCTTGTAACTTGTGACTCCAGTGTTGGCAGACATGCTCCTTTGTATTTAATCTGTCCCACACATCCCTACTGTTGATAGCTGCTAATTCCCAGCCTGTCTTAACAGCAGAGCTTGATCTGCTTAGGTAACCTTTGGTGCATCTAAAAGTCTGAAGCATGTAAACAAGATAATTATGTTTAATTGATTTCTTCAGAGGAGATGCAAATCTTTGCTCTTGTAGAACAATGAGCTATTAATGCATAGAGTCAGGAAAACCACTGTAAAAGCTGAACGTTATAGCCTTTCTACTCCCAACTTCAAAAGAAACCAACACACATACCTGACATGACTGTAGAAGATTCTTTTCACCACTACTATTCTTCTCGGCAGTGCAGAGAAGGAATTGTACAAGTATTAATTGTTCACTGCCCAGCAATTTGGTCACATGATTAAACAATAAATGTTATCTGAGAAAATATTGTCTAAAATTAGATCTTGTACTTCATTTTTTAAAAAGTCAAATGGACATATTGTGCCTTGAGGATCAGATAGGATGATTTCTCCCCACCCTCTCTTTTTGTGTTGCAGCATCATGTAATCATAACCTGCTCTCCATGACTGATGCAGTGTTAATTAGGTAATCAACATTACCAAGGAACAATCTGACAGGGAACAGAGAAACCAAATGGACATCCTTCCTATCCTCAGTTGCTCCATTTGACTAAGAACAGGAAAACCAAGACTAGTTAAGGTATTGCTTTCCTCAAGATGAAAAAACAGACGTGAATAGACGAATGACCCAATATTGACTCTGAAGGACATTTCATGCAATCCATTTTGGATTTCTTACATCCCCTCTTCCTCAATTGAATTATAAATAACTGCTAAGCAAAAAAATTTCCTCCTGCATCCTGTGTTGCAAAAAGGAGAAAAACTGAACTCAAAGCTAGTGTAAAGGGGGATGTTGAGAATATTAATCTTTTCAAAAATTTGGTCCTGAAAAATTTACATGTGCACTAGAAGTCAACTGAATATTAATGCTACACTGACTAAGCAATATATTTAACTGTGTGATATGGCAGTGCTCTGACTGAACAACAAGATTTTAAAACATACCCTGGAATCTGTCCTCTCTACCCATCACAAACTTGGTGCCAATACCTTTCAGAAACTTCACTCATGAGTTCAGTCAACCAGTCAACATCACTTCTGACAATCTTAATCCAGAACCGAAGTGTCGGATCAATTTCTTGCAGATTGGTCAATCTGACCTTCAACAAACATATGAATTAAGCTCACTGGACATTACATTTGGTTTCTTTTAGCTCAAAGCAGAAAGGTGCACTTAGTAAAGGCACTAAAGCACCATGCTACCAGCAATTTACAGTGGCATTTCAATGAGAATACTCAGTTATCACACTTGCCTAAGCTCATTTCCCTTTAGTTAAATTTTAAAAAGCCCAACTTCTTAAACACAAAAAATAGAGCACAATTAAGATAGACATCGCTCCCATCCTTTATATAGCATAAGCTAAAAAGCCATGATTTTTTTATATCTAGAAGTCATTTTATACCGTACATTTTATATCCTTAATTTCACATGAAAGGGACAAGTCCTTTTAAGGCTGGGAGTTGGTGGTGGGTAATGTTGCAGTACTCAGACACTGATGTACAAGACATTTATTTGCAGCAGGATGAGGACAACTATGGCAGAAATGGAGAAACAAAACTGGACTGATCTTGTTACTATTAAAACTGTTCTGACAGCAGTTCACATAATCTCTGAGATACGGTTTCTTTACTTGTTCGTAGTGTGAGTCTATACATCTGAAAGAGAGCACATAAGAAATCTATGTATTATAAAGACAACAGTAAAACATGTCTGCATTTAGATGGACTCATCAGAAAAAGCATACAGATTAAGGAACAAAGCAGTGCCTCTTGGTCGTGATATGAGCAATGGCTAGTAAATTTCATGTGAGACACTGACAACTTTATTCAGGCACAAAAAAATATTTAAAGTCTGCGGGGACACGTCCTCTGAGTTCTGAAGGTGTTTAATGTACTTTTCCCCCTGGGCTTTGCCCAGATCTAACTGTACTCTAAAACAAATAGATTTTCCTGCTTAACTACCTCTGTAGAAATTTCAAATTTCTGCTACCATACCTTGGTGCTGAAATATGGACAATCCTTGAAAGCCCGTTAAGTGATCAGCAGCAGGAAGAGGAGGAATTGCTTCTGAGCTACTAAAGGCATTCTCACTAACTCCATTAACTTGGGAAGCAGAGATTTGTAAACGAAACCAGGATTCTCAAGCAATACATTTCATTCCCACTGAGAACCAACACAACCCCCCAAAACATGGATTTTCTTCAACTCTAATATCACCAGGAAATATAAAACACAGCCATCATGTGCAGTCCCTTTGATTTTACAATTGTAGCAAACACTATTCCTACAGATTTGCATCCCTCCGCTGTTGGTTCACAAAGTAGTAAACAAAACAGAGCTATGTTTCGTTCATTTAGAAACAGATGAGGCAAAAAAAAATCATTTTTTTCTAAGATGTTGAAGGGGAAATTTAGTAAGAAGTTTTTAACTTTCAAGGGGGTATCAAACAAATACAAAAGACTATTAAGATTAATTTAGTGTCCTCTGCACAATAAGAGGAGTTGTAGTTTGATGATAGGATGGAATATTTTCCAGAGTAACACAATATGTGAGCATGCAAAACAGCAGAGGCCTTTGGAAAGCTGAAAAGTAGCCTGCTGAAAGCCAAAGCCAGAACAGCTGCCTCCGTTTTCAACCTATTTGGGGTTTATTGACATTGACAACTGAGTCTGAGACATCATATAACTACTTCTACTGCAAGTTATTTTTACTAAATACACAAGGTATGTTTAGTCAAACGCATTGGTAAGATCAGTTTTATTCCGTTTCTGTAAACCAGCACTTCTATTTAACTTGCAAATACAAAAGCAGGTACCTGTGCCTGAAGGTTGGGTTCAAGACGCAGCAAACACCCAATCTGGGTAGTTTTTGTGTGTATTATACCAGCACCAACAAAATTAGCAGGGTTGGGATCTACCTCTTCAAGGAGGGCAGAGCCAAAGCCAATGATCTATCAAAGAAAACCCAAAAAAGAGACTTTGTTTAGAGACAGTGCAGGGACAGGAAGACAAAAGTACAAAAAGTGTCCAAGAATGCTCATGAAACAGCCTATTCACCTGATCACGGTCACCAGGTAATTGATTTAGTTAAATAGGCAGGGAACTTCTTAGCTCTGAAAATAAGTTTTAAAGCATCAATAGTAGTATAAGAATTCTGACATCTTAACACTACCACTATACCACAACCTGAACTTTTAAGATAAACTTGTTTGGCACTCCAAGTAGTAGCAACACTTATAAATAGGATGAGGGGTCTGAGTTCTCTGGATTCAGACACTTAAGTCCTTCCTCCACACCTGTCCCTCATACCTTCCTCTCCTCCTCCTCACCTGCTCCATTTCTCCTAGCCCCTCTCCCTTTCACTGTCTTTCCATTTAATCACCTCTTAACTAAACCCCATCCACAAAAGACTCAATGGAACATGATGCCTGTCGCTGTCATACTGATCACTCTACTTTTATGCTCTAGCCCTTTCCCCTGTCCTTTGGCTTGTTTGTTTATTTAAATTGTAAGCTCTTCAGAAAGGATACAAAGGAAACCAGTCAGTTATGTTTTCTTTCCAAACGTTATAAAAATGGATGTACTGTGAAGGGACACTGAACTAGAGTGGCCAAAAACTGCCTCATTGAAAAACCTCCCATACTAAGGGTAGGTCTACACTACCTGCTGGATTGGCGGGTAGTGACTGATCTATTGGGGATCGATTCATTGCGTTGACGTGATAAATCGATCCCCGATCGCTCTGCTGTCAACTCCTGTACTCCACCGCGGCGAGAGGTAGAAGCGGAGTCGACGGGGGAGCAGCGGCAGTCGACCCCGCGCTGTGAGGACGCGAGGTAAGTCAACCTAAGATACGTCAACGTCAGCTACACTATTCTCGTAGCTGAAGTTGCGTATCTTAGGTTGATCCCCTCCTCTCCCCACCAGAGTAGAGCAGGGGTAAGCGGCTAACCGATATTAGTCATCCTATCTGATGATTAGCCAGATTTTAACTCCAGTTGCCAGATGGCATGCAGTAAAGTTTTCACTGGAATATTTAATCACGCTAATAAGATTTCATGATATATACACAAGTATAATAGCAAACAGTTGAGCGATAAACCGGGTTTGAATGGTAAAAAAGGAGGGGCTGGTTGAAAGTTTTCTAATTTCACAATGTCAACAACGAGTCAGTTTTCACCCTGCTTTTTGACCAGGTAGATTTAGTCAAAACATTTTGACAAAAAGGAAACAATTACATGAAAAATATTTTCAAAATGTTATTTTTTTTTTAGTAGCTCTAGTAGAGAGTAGACTTCGAAATTCCCTCCAATTCAATTTAATGAATGAAGTTCACATTTCAGTATAAACCACTTCAAGGTTCTTCACAACAAGGCCTAGAACTCTTAGAAATAAACCAAATTGGATTAACCCCTATGTAAATCCTACAGATATTTCCATACTGCTAAGTGCAATTACCTCACTGACTAATTTGCAATGTGTTCGTGCCTAAGCAGCATGACCCAAATGCCCCGAAGAAAAAAAGAGGGACATAATAAAATATCAGCATCAATAGAATCATTACATTTATTAATGCCACTGCTCCAAATCTGAAATTCATCTGTTAAAATACCACACTGTTACCTACCTTTGCCTTTGTGATCTCTGTATCCATTGGATGCTTTGCTTTAAAGATGTTCTGCATTTCTTGCTGAGGACTGTGAGAAACATACAAGTTAGTATCATGCTATAAAAACATATAACACAAGAGCATAGCTGGTAGAGTGCTGAAGTTCAACAGTAGTATTTACTTATATTGAAGTGGCTCTCACAAGCCTCAATCGGAAATGAAGCACCACTAAGCTAGGTATTATTCAACATAGCCCTTTCACTGAGAAATTTACAATCTGGGTTCAAATCTTACTTGCTCAGTTGTTTCCAACGCTGGAAGAAGTCTTGAGAGGCCATCTCCGTAGGTTGGAAAAATTTGTTCAGTGTGATCGGTAGTTTTACTGAAATATTTTGAAATGTTCCCCCATATCTGCATGAAGAACAAAGAGAAAAATGTGGTACAAGTTATGATGAATTACAGACTGTATTTCAGAACTTATTTAAGAAAAAAAGTGAAACACTGAAAGATACTGTGACGCTGGTAAACCAAGTGCCAGCTCTGGCCAAGGCCGTGGGTGTTAGCTAAGAACTGAAACTCATAGCTGGAAACCAAAGCATTTCTCCGAAATGTTAGTTTTGTTCAAAACAAGTATTAGTCTTATAAGAATGTATTTACTGCTTAGAAGCTATGAAATGATTGTAAAATTGCTGTATGCATTAATCTCACTTGTAATGTCTGTATTCCATGCTGCAAGGTAAAACGCAAGTGTTTTATAATTATAAAAATGCCTGCTTTGAACGTGTGAATTCAGATGGGAATAGTGGCTCCCACTGCCCACCCAGAAGGGCTATCAAAAATTAAGTAGGCCATCACAGAACAAAAGCTTTGTTAACTGCCTCATCCACCCATCGACAAGTATGTGCAAAAGGCCTCCGCCTATGGGTAAATAAAAACAGATGACATGAAATTTTTTTTATCTTTGCTGTTTGGACTCTCACAAGGGCTGGAGCTAAGAAACAAAAACAGAGATCCCCAGGGTCAACCCTAAAGACATTAAATGGTGAAACTCATTTGTGTTTCCATGCTTGCTTGTTTTAACCTGTAAATAAATCATTTATTTTTCCTAGTTAATAGACCTATAGTTAATTACAGGATTGACTGCAGGTGTTGTCTTTGGCATGAGGTCTAAGGTAAAAATGGATCTGGGGTAAGTGACAGATCTCCTGGGACTGGAAGCAACCTGAATATTTTGTGATGACTGTTTATCACTAAGACCAGCTTGCCAGTGTGGCAAGAGACTGGAGAGCCCAAGGGGACTGTCTGTGCCTCTATGGTAGAACTGTTACAGTGATCTAGGAGTTGACATTTGTTACTGAGTTGGTGAAATCGAATTATAGAACATACCACCAGTTTGGGGTGTCTGCCCTGCTTTTGCCAGTCTGCCCTGAGGTAGGCATTCTCAGTTGTGAGCCACTCCAGATAGCATAAATTATATTGCCTTATCAAAGGGCCATTCACTATTTCACAGAGAATACAAAGAATTCTGAAGTAAATATACTTTAGACTCAGACTATTGATTATAAACTCTTTTTCGGAGGGGCAGTATGTGGGAGAAAAGATAAGCATTTGTTCTTATGAGAAAAGTTTAGGAATAACTCATTTTAGATGCGTATGAAGGCAGAAATAGTTAAATGCATCAACACTTCAATAAGAATTCCATGAATCTGAACTGGAGTATAAGTTCACATTTAGCGTGCTGACATTATAGATAATGCCAACCAAATAAACATTGAGAATGGACTCATAACTGCAGCCTCCCATGCATTAAGGCCAACTGTAATGGGGAAAAAGCAAAGTAAACAGCAGAGCTGTGGTCCTAGTGTAGTATCTGTTCTTATCAGTTTAGTATCTGTTACTGCTTATTTTAAAACCGTGGCTTTCTACATGTAAAAATGTTAATTTTCATCCACAGCAACAGAATGAATAAAACAATAGCAAACCTGTATAAAAATAATCAATAGGTAAATCATTAAATCAGGTTTACACTTTAGAGGAAACATGCATATAGACATTCCAAAAGGTACAATCTCACTATAAACTACAAGAAGGGGAACAGATTTATTTCGATGGAAATAAATAAACCAATGCAAAATACCACCATTTTAGATCAACACAATGCAAAGTTAGCATCTCGCCTTTATAAGGCTGATAATCTTAATGTTTAAATTACTAAGTAGGCATGACTGAACAATGTCTATTCTTTATTTGGACAATTTGCCTAAAACAGCCATCTAAACGTTGTTACCATGTGCATTTCTTTTCTAGGCATCTTTAACATTTTTCTTAAATACTAAAAACTGTGAATAGGATATATTGCCTAAGAAAATTTCACAGCATTCAAGATGTGAAAGGCCACAGGTTTAAATCTCCCCCTGCCCCAACAGTTCTGATGATAAAAGTTTTTGTTTTGTATTTTTTTTAAACAAACGCTCTAAGAAATGTGGAAAGCCTGAGTCAAAATACTCACCTATAATATGCCTTCTTGCTTTGATATTGGCTTATAGGAAGATTACACAGTTAGATGAGGAGAGACTCCTACACCCTCCTTTATTAAACAACTCCTCGCAGCCAGCATCTCAATTAATTAACTGCATACAGTCATTTCAGGGTAACTCGTAAACTGACACTCAGGTTAATCAAGTTTAACACACAATCATTTATATTAAGAACCATCACCTTGGATAAGTCAAGGAATTATTAAAACTGAATTTACTTTACAGTTCATGTTGCCTGTTCACCGTTTTGCATTTCACTCAGCTTGGACCCTGAAAAATAGTAGATAGCTTCTACTAAGTTTCACTTTTAGATTTTCATTGGAATATCCTGGGAGCATACATATTGGCTGTAAGCACTGTAGAAAACTAATTAAAAAAATTCCATTGTATCATGAAAATGTTTCTGGACAACAAGTTAATCTACAATTTTCATGTAGGGAAACTTCCTTTTTGTATTGCATAGCAATCTGGAGTTCAACCTTATTGAATAAAATGGAAAGATAAGTGAGAACTATGGTCACTTTCAGTTAGAGTTTACCTACTATGTTGTTCCAAAGAATGACTATTTGAGTTGAATACAGTATTGTTGTAGCTGTGTTGGTCCCACGATATTAGAGAGACAAGGTGGGTGAGGTAATATATTTTATTGGACCGATGTCTGTTGGTGAAAGACAAGATTTTGAGCTACACAGAGCTCTTTTTCAGTTCTGGGAAAGGTACTCAGAGGATATGTCTACACTGGAATTAAAAAGCCACGGTTAGCCTGTGTCATTTGACTCAGGGTACATCTACACTACAGGGGGGAGTCGATTTAAGATACGCAAATTCAGCTACGTGAATAGCGTAGCTGAATTCGACGTATCGCAGCCGACTTACCCCGTTGTGAGGACGGCGGCAAAATCGACTTCTGCGGCTTTCTGTCGGCGGTGCTTACTACCACCTCCGCTGGTGGAGTAAAAGCGCCAATTCGGGGATCGATTGTCGCGTCCCGATGGGACGCGATAAATCGATCCCCGAGAGGTCGATTTCTACCTGCCGATTCAGGCGGGTAGTGTAGACCTAGCCTCAGACTAAGGAGCGGTTTAATTGTAGTGTAAACATTCAGGCTCAGGCTTGAGCCTAGTTCTGGGACCCTGTGAGGTCCCTGGAGTAGATTCGTGGGGGGTGAGGTTGTAGAGTTTTTTTTGGAGTTGTTTGGGGAAGGATTGTATGATATCCTTACATTCCTGGATGAATTGTGGTGTGGGGTCTTCAAGTTCTTTGTAGTAGGTGGTGTCGAAGAGTTGTTCGTTGGCCTCGCTGACATAGTTATCACGGTTGAGAAGTATGATGGGACCCCTTTGTCTTGGGGCTGGTTTTCAGGGACTGTATTGCTGTCCTATTGGTGGTGGAGTGATTGTGATGGATGTGATTTTTGTTAAGGATTTCACAGTCATTTTTTTTCCAAAAGCAATCAATGTAACGATCAAGCGTGTGGACCACACACTGAAAGAAATCTCTTCCAAACCTACTTTTCTGGCCTTCAAAACAAATCTCCCATCCTCACCAAGCTCATTATCAGTAGCAAGTTCCCTCCAGACCAGGACTCATGAACTCAAAGTGGCACCCCACCCTGCCATAACAGATGCAAAACCTGCAGACATATCCATATCTCCACTGCTACGATGATCAATATCACTCCCCCCCCCCCAAGCACACCTTTCAAAATCCTTGGGTCCTACACAAACCTATCACAACATGTGGTATACTTTATCCAGTGCATAATGTGCCCCAATAACAACGACGTGGGTGAAACCAGACAATCTCTAGGCTCTCAAATAAGCCCTCTCAGAAAAAATGATAAAAGACAAACACTGTATCACCTGTGGGCAAACACATCTCACAAAATGATCTTTCCATATCTACCCCCTCAGTCCTTGTCCTCGGAGGAAACTTGTGCAGTACCTTTAAAGATTCACGGCTTTTTACAACAATCTGTAACCCACTAACCCTTTTTTTTGGAGAGGCCTTAGCAGGCCACTTCATGTTGAATGGTCTTTTGGATATGTGTTAACTATTTATGCTAAACAGTCTCTTCCACTTTGTATTAGTTGTGACACTGAGTGCCTTTTCCAGACCTGAAAAAGAGTTTTGTGTAGCTCAAAAGCTTGTCTTTCACCCACAGCTGATGGACCAATAAAAGGTATCACATCTCCCACCTTGTCTCTCTAAATTGAAGGCCTTTAGCAACTTGTTAGAACAAGCCCTCAGGCAATTCCTCTGTCCAGAGTACCTTTTAATTTTTCTGTGCTTCCAATGCATTTTCAGATTCTGAAGTCTAAGCCGAAGTCCATGTCTATGCTAAGCTTTACTTCAACACCAAAAACAAAAAACACCTTTTACCTGAATTGAATGTTTAGGATTGGAGCTTCCATGAAGTCTGATATGCACTCAATATTCACAACTTGCTGCACCTGAGCGCCCCCATCCACTGTCGGATCCACTGGTTTTGTCTGCAGGTTCAGGCGTGAGAGGTTGTTAAGGAAACCAATTCACAGAAAAAAAATGATTGTGCTTTTAATCATTACCACTGACTTTAAATATAGATTTACATCTTCATATGGAGAAATTGGCCACTGGGGGGAAGGGAGGGAACAACCAACTTTCACCAGTAAGTTAAATGTCCCTGTGAAACACAATATTAACTAGATGTTATGTGGATAATTTTTCAAGCACCATACCAATACACAGATTCAAGATAGTAAGAGACAATTTTTGCTAGTAACCCTTGCAATATTAAACACTGTATTGAGTGCATGCAATGTATGCAAACATAAGATGTCCAAACAAGTCTTATACGCTGTAGATGGTAATTCTGAACTGCTAGTGATATTCAATTTTACTCACATTTTGTATTCATCAATCCCTACAGATCTTAATATATTGAGTAATTTGTAGTTGTAGATTCTGTCAAATGCTTTTTGGAAGTCAATAAAACACAACTATACTGTGTCCCCCATTTCAAATGATCTTTCTAATATGAGATTAAAGTTCATAATGGTGTTCATCATGCCCTTTCCATGTCTGAAGCAGTATTGTTGGCCATTTCTTTCCTTATCTATCTTTCCTTGTATTAGGTCTTGAACAACTCACAAAAATATTTAGAAATAGAACTACACAGCACACTTAGCCCAGGCTCTGACACAGGTTTGATGCCAAGCTCCCCTTCCATCCACACACAAATCACTTTGACTTGGGTCAGCAAGGACTCAGGAGCCGGGACCTAGGACTCTGCTAGGTGGGCGGATCAGAGCCTGAACCCCACTGTAACTCAGGTCCAAACCCTGTAATTTTGCAGCATGGATGTAAGACCCAGATCAAGCAATTGTAAGACCAGGTTTACAATACAGTGTAGATGCTCAAGTGCAGGCTTGGAAACACCATGTTCACAAGCCCGGGGCCCAAAGACCCGATTTACATTGCAGTGTAGACATACCCTCAGGGTATATAGCATCTGTATACCCAGACTCACTGCCATGGGTTTTGTTTTTTCTTTTCTCCCCAGTGTAGACATACCTTAGAGGCATGCGATTGTTCTGTAGTCCTTACAATCCATAGCACTGGTCTTTTTTTCAGTTTGGATATGTAAGGTTCTGAAGTATTCTGGCAATTCTCCTGTCTTAAATATATTCTTCATTACCTCTGACTGGGCTTTTAAGTCTTCATCCACTATACTTTAACAATTCAGCCAGTATTCCATCGCAACCTAGTGCTTTTCCATTCGGAAGTCTTTTTATTGATGCCAAGATTTCTTCATCCATTATTGATGGACTTAATTAATCTCTAGCTAAGCTTTTTCAGGCCTATCACCACGATATAGTTCCTTGATACATTCTCACCGTCTCTCATTCTTGTCTTTAGGGTCTGTCAAATATTGTCCATTTTTGTCCTTTACAGTGGTATTGGTCACCTTTTTTATTTAATTGAAGGTTCTTATCTTTTGATACATCTCATGTTATTCTCTTTATCCAACTGTCCAATTTCTTTGCATTTCTCATACAGCTATTCAGTCTTTACTAATATGCATTTATTCTTTATTATTTTATTTATTCGTTTTTACTAATATGACTCTACTAATGCACAGTACTCTTCATCTGCCTGAAAAATTTTCAACAAAGAACTAAAAATTGTACCATATTGTCTTTCTATATGAGAGGAAAGGCAGACTCATAAGTATGGTATGAAGCTTTTATCCAACAAAATTTACATTTTATTTTGTAATATATTTGCTGGGACTAATGTTAATACCATGGACTTGTTTCAATTTATTCTAAAGTTTGAGATGTCTCTGATTTCCCTATTGCTTTCACAACACATGGCACTAAGAGGACCAGCAATCATTTAAAAGAAAAGTCTTAATTTTTGTTTTATTTGTTGCCCCTCCCATTCATTACCACAAAGGTTCACAAGAACAATGGAAACTTACTGTTTCACCATAGTCAATTAACCTTATAGTGATGTCAAGGGTGCAAAGTAATTTGAAAAAAAACCCTCTCCATATAATCTTTCAGTTTAGTAATTTTAGGCATTACTTGTAATAGTGGTAGGTCATTAACACGCAAGTACAATTTCAGTGTTATGTTAATGTTTGTAAAATACTACATAGTACATGGACTAGGCCTTATCAGCTAAACTCTATAGTTAAAATTCCATTCATTTTTTTAAAGGATTTATGAACTGTTCCACTGAGACCACTTATGCTTGTGGATACAATGAAAGTTACCACTTAGAAAAGCTAGACCGAGCAAAACAAATATTTTCAATTCATGGGGAAAGCAAGGAACGAGTCAGAAAGTTAATCTAACCATTTCTGAACAAGGAAGAGGTTTCATCACAACCACATTTTTGAAGAGTTTGCCTGCCAAAAATATATATTTTAGCATCAAGATCTTTAGTTAGTAACCAAAGGCTTAACTACATTTCTTGTAGCTTCCAAGTTGACTTCAGCAAACTAACCAATGTTGTGATGTAGTAAATTGATTACTTTACCACATGCTATATTAATGGAATTTTTAATAAAGCGTCCTTATTTTCTTTGATACTATCAAGTATATTCAAAATCCATAGCTAGACTTTTACTAAGCCTAAAAGTGATTGTTTTGGTAGTGCAACAAATATGTTAAAGAGCAGTGAATAATCTCTCCACATTAGCTTGCATAGCTGGAAAGTTCTCATTTAGTTTGCATTTGTCTAATTTGACTTATTCCCTTTTAACTCACAGTGTATTTTGTGATTAAATTTTAATTAACTCTCTTGGTACCAAAGAGTTAAAACCATTTCAACTTTAGTACCAGCAGAGAGACCTAAACTAAACTTGGCAATAGATAATAGCTCTGTGGTAAATTAATCAAATACCTGATTTTAATATGCTCCCTTTTTTCTCCTGGAAGCTGGTACTTTGCAACTTTTCCCATACAATACCACGTATCTTGTCAAAAATGTATTAGGTAACGTCTCACAACAGTAAGATATGCCTATACAAATCCTACACAATACTACTATGTGTAGCATTTTTTCTAGAGCCATAGATTTTGCTAAATTAATTTTTCTACACTGACACCAAAAGGTTGTATTTTTAAGATAAAGAAGTGACAACTTCCTCATCTTGTGATGTATCAGACTTTGAATCTAGCAGCCATTGCATTAGCCAAAGTATTTCTTTATTACTGTTTATTTTTGCATTTGATATATGTAATGATCAGGTACATACACTACTACTTGCATATGAGGTGGAGCAATTAAATCAAGGATATTTGACTGAAGTTCATCTGAACAGATTAGTGTTGGAGTAAAATTCAAGAACTGAGTGGAAGTCTTGTTACCATAAAATATAAACATCCGACCTGGAAAGAAATAGGTAAAAACATTTAATTATAAAATCCTCAAGTATAGCCATATAACATTAATTAAGTACACTGACTACATTTGGAGCAAGAGTCTGAGGCTGGGTCTATATGTACATCATTTCAGCAGTGCAGCTGTACAGATACAGCTGTCTTGCTGCAGTGCATCTGGTGAAGATGTTCTATGCCGACGGGAGAGAGCTCTCCTATCAGCATAAAAAACCCCATCTCTGCAAGTGGCAGAAGCTATATTGGCGGGAGAAGTCACATGCATGAGCACTTATGTTGGTGTAATTTATGTCACGGTGGGGTGAGGGGGTGTGTGTGGAATATTCACACCCCTGACTGACACAAGTTTTGCTGACATAGACTATGTCTTCGCAACAGCCTAAGACAACTGTTTTCCACCAACACCACAAAAAGGGTTCCTTAACTAGGTTAGGCCTCAAATCTGATCCACTTTTAGATGTTTAGAAAATTTGTCACCAGTAAATTAACAAAATAACCATTTTTAACTAACAATGTTTATTCCCAATTCTGTGCTGACACTGCTGTTGATACAACAAGGAAGTTAACACCATGTTAACTACCAGATCTATTCAAAACATAAAACTATCGGTCTTACCCAAGTTTTGTCGAAATTCAGATTTCAGTCCAATCTGTAGCAGCTGATTTTCAAACAAAACTCCATTATTTTTACATACAAACCTAGAGAAAGATAGGCACATTTGAAAGGTAAGAGTTTATATTTTAACTACAAGACAAATTATTACAAAGCAATCAAAGCCACAGAACTTAAAGGTCTTGTGGACAGCATAAAGAAGAGAATTGTGGGCCCAGGTGCCTTGAAGTAGTCAGTAAAAAGGACAGACAACAGAAAAATTGTAAACTTAATTAAATGAATTTATATTATAGCCCACACCTTCCTCGTAATGAACATTTTAACTATTCAAGTTTATTTCAATGTTATGTTTAAAATGAAAATAGGGAGGAAACCAAGACATACAGACATGCTATATAAGTACCAGGCAACAGATTTTTCAATACAGCATTAATCTAGTGGATTAATGAACTTCAATTCAGTGTTTCACCTACTAAGCACTTGAACAAAGTGCACTTGCAATACCAATACTCTTGGCTATGCCTACCTAATCACCAGTTACATTTGTTCTCAACCCCAAATGATTGCAAAATGTGGCATACAACTAACACTGATGAGGAGAGGCCTAGTTTTAGAGCAGCATGTGGTATTGCAGGTGAGCGCTGTGCTGCACTGGCAATGTTGTGAATGAGTATACAGCATATACAACACAGCATCTATAACCAGCTCTGTGCATTACCAGTCTTACTGCATGTCTAGAAAAAACACTGGCCACTTTGAAAAATAGTGGGTTAATACTTAGTTTAATCCCTTGCTTTGTGATTTTTGATTATTTTGTGATAATGCTCTGGAAGTTGCCATTTTTGCAAGATTTTAGTATTGCTTACTTGTGAATAAGCTCATCAGCATCATGCACAGTATCAGCTGGTTCCTCAGAAACTACCTCAGATGAAGCCAGGTCAGGGCTAATTCAAGCAGCACAAAGGAAGAAAGGAGGTAGCAATAGAGATGGCAAGAGTTATAAGTTAGTAAAAAAAGAGAGCTTAGTCATTTCCTTTATTTCCTCCCTCAGAACAGCACTTTGGGATAGGACACACCAAGGCCTACATTTTTGAACTAAGACACCTGGAGTTAGGTACCTAAATTACTTTAGCAATCTAAGCAACTGGATTTTTCAGAGGGGCTGAACACCTGCAGTCCCCACTGATTTCAATAAGAGTGGAAATGTTCAGCACTTAAAATCATACCACTTTAGGCCTCTAAATCCTTTTTAGACATCTAAGTCCAGGCACCATTGTGCAAAAAATTTGGATTAAGTGCATATTTAAGAACGCCCATTAACTTCCATTAGTCTGCATACGGATGCCAGGTCCTCATTGCCACGGATAGCATTTCTAGTTAACTCGAAAAAAACTGCACTGCTTGAATGAAAGAACAAGCATTGCCAAAACAATTTAAAACAATTATGCAACAGTAAATACACTGGTAGACTGTCCAGAACATCCCTTAACCAAGTAACAGATTTCCTCCTTAATCCCACCTTACTACTTATGGAAAAGTGGCAGAGGTTACTGTAGAAGACGCTTAGGTAGTAACTACCTTAGACAAGCACTTTACCAAATGCAACGACTGCAAACAGGGTAGGGGTCAGCAATGCTAGTCATTTTTCTGCAGCAAATGTCCACATATAAAGCATTAATGCTTCACCCCTGTAGATCACTCCTGAACTAGTAGCCTAACACTAAAAATGAAGAGAAAGGACAGAGAAGAGGTACAGCAGATGCCAGCTCTAAAACATCATTTAACTTTACTGCCACACACTAAAGGTTACCATGTATGAGCCACTTAAAATTTGTCTTTAATACAATCCACTATCTTGCAAGAATGAAATGTTTTAGGATGAAATTTCTCAACCATAGCAAACTGCAGGCAAGTAGATCGTGCCTGAGCTGGTACTTTCCCCTGGCAATTTTACAGAGCTGTGCTGGAGCACATAGTTATCCCTATACTTAATAGGGAAGTAGGAACACACAAAGCATGACTGCTGTATACTGCAACGGCTTAGCTGCCCTTCATTACTTTAAAGACTTGGTTCACAGTAGTATTAAATCTTGTTTAGTAGATGTTATAAGCAGAGGTTTGACACAGTGGGAATTTAAAAAAAAACAAACAACCAACATCAACAAAAAAACCCTGGTCGACTAGGCAGTCTTAGCTGAAAAACATTTGAATATAGTTAAGTGTTCAAATGACAAGAGATTCAGGTTACATATTCCATTTAATATTAGCTCTGCTAACATGCTAGAATTCGGCTAGAAAAAGCTAGCAGTAAGATGGATCCTCTCATGATATTTACACTGACACCCAAGAATTTAATGTCTTGTGAACAGTGCCTGAAAGCTTTATATTGAGAACTTCACCTAAAATGCTGGTAACCATCAATAAAAGCAGTTACTGATCATTGAATTAAAAAGGTACGCTGGAATGTAGGATAATATGTACTTTTAAATACAAGGGACATTGTTTAAAGTTATTTTTGCTTCTTCATAATGAGGCCATTGACTGTAGTTAGGTCATAAATAATATATAAAAGCCAAATTAAATATGCCTTCAGGTCTGTGACTGGTTTAACGCATTCGGACAGACTATGTTTAATAGCTCTAGGAGATCTGCTGTCACAGAGAGACAAATTAGCAATAACCTACCCACCCCGGCCCAACAACGGTGATTTGTTACAGATGCAAGGACACAAACGCTAGAGTCCTGCATGGCATAGGAATAAGAAAGGAATTCTATTCAATTTAGGCTAGATAATCCAAAATGTGAAATAACAGTTCACTACTACAAACTAATACATTAATACCTACAGCCTGATATTGAAATGCATGGAAGAACAGCTTACCTTTATGCACCTAAAACTGAAAGCAATAACATAGAAATCGTTTATGGCCAGGCCCAAAGTTATCCACTAACCTTATCATTGCATTTAAGTCTTACTGTACTCAATATAATCTGGATATTAAGCATAAAATAACACGCTTTAGGCTTGCCCTTAGGCGATTATATCAGTATATGAATTCCCTTCACATGACATTAAGTAGGACTGACAAAGCTATGTTGTTCTTCAGGGGGGAAGTTTCAGCTGTTTGTACTCTTCATAAGGGTAGGGTAGAAAAGGTGGAAGATAAGAGGCACCACCTACTCCCAACTCAGGTGAGAATTATTTTAACTACCTTGCAAAATTATCTTCAGAGCCAGGAGCAAGAGGTGCAACCACAGAAGCAGAGTCTGAAAATACATCCACCAGCAAACTGCCAGTAGAGGAAGGGGGAGGAGCAGAGCTGGTGAGAGGAGCTGCACCGAGGCCCAGAAGGTCTGCTGATGGAGAAGGAGTAGACTGTAGAAGATAAAATGGAACACTTTAAAGTTGCATTTAATTCATATATACTAATACAAAGCCCAAACACAACTGTGCCTCATCCCCGCTCCCCAATAAAGACTGGCTCAGATTTTTAAAATATCTTTATTTCCTACAGACAAAACTATCTTCCACATGTGGCTATCACCTTGCCCTTTAAATAGCCTCAGACAGGTAGTTTTATAGCCAAAAAACTACTAGTTTCCCATAACTAGATTTTACCTTCCCATAAAGCCAGTTGTAAACCAGATAACTTAACGCACCCTAGTTCTTCTTGATATCTCCCTCCTTCACCTTTGAACATTAAAAGCAGTACAGGTTAATCTGTACTATTTTGCGAAGTCCAACATTACACAACTCTAATCCAAAAATACTTTTGTGTCCCAACATGACAGACTATTGTGTAAACCTACATTTCAGGACATTTTGACAAACCCAGATGCCTAAAACTGATGTTTTCCTGAATATTAAAAACCCTTTCCTTTTAACAAAATATAGCTTTTTGTTCATATACCTGAATGTTAAGTTCTGAAGCCATGCACACACTCAAAAGAGAAGTATTGAGACTAATAAGCCAGAAACCAGAGTGCTCCTAAATTAAAGTTGGTTAAGAAAGGAAATAAAATCTAGTACAAGATTTCCCAAAACAAGCAGAGCACCAACACTTAAGTTGCAAGGAAGTAAAATGAAAGAGGAGTTCCAGTGGATGGAGAGTCTGGCATTAAAAGTTTGAGGAACTTATATTTCTTGGACTGTTGGTTGGGAATTTTCCCTCTTCCTCAAAGGGAAGGAGATCGAGGGAAAGGTACTTAACTCTCTCCTAGAAAAGCAAGATATTAATAAGTGGACATATAGGGACAATTTACTTATATAAACTCCCAGTCACAATGTGTACAGGTATGCAAGTTGTGATTCTATAGTGATGATTATAATGAAAGTTAAATTGGGGCCTTATTACACTTATTTGGAAAGGAAATATTTTCTTCTTGTAGAACTTTACAAAATGTGCTAAACAGAACTAGATTTATTTTTTTTCTAAAGTTTTAAGTGATTCCACTGTAAAGTTCAAAACAGCCACAAGCATTTAAAAGTGACCATTTTTTAAAATCGGTAATGGTTATTTGGGACAGATTCTCTGGTTCACAAAGCAAACCTGAAGCAGCTAAAGATCTGCATTGAGATTTCCCTCTACACTGGCAGCTCCACCACCTTTGTGCTGGAACCATACCCCTTCCTGCATAATGGGAGGTACGGTGGATGTCAAGGGTGCAGCATGGGAGATGGCATGGTTGAACAAGGCACCACTGTACCCAATTCTACATTGGAATAAGATCCTTGGTCTTTCACCAGCAGCATAAGTCTATGCTGCCCCCTGCAGGTTTAATTTATGTTGGGGCTTGGCAGCTGAGAATCAGCAAGCTAGGACAGACTTGCTGTCAGTCTCCTAAGCAGAGCCTGGGTGCAGTGGAGAACCAACCAACAACTTCTCTTTGGGTCCATCTAGTTTAATACAATTAAAAACTTCAACCTTACCACATATATACAGTATTGACAACACTTCTCATACCCTTCATCACCACTGATGGTCAAAATTTTCAGCAGTGACCCGTGATTTTGGGTGCCCAAGTTGAGACATCTTAAAGGTGCCTCAGTTTGAGTGTGTCTCTCATTTTGAGAATTATGTTAGGACAAGCTTCTTACGTTGGGTACCACCCCTCAAAAATATATTTTGAAAAAAAATCAAGGCCAATATATATCTGTGGTCACAAGGGGGTCTTCTAAATCCACTTTGAAAAGCTAATTTGTTGAAGTGTGCTGCAAATTAAACTCCCATTATACGTAAAGACAAAGTTAAGGGAAAATTTCCATGTTATTGCTTCTCTTTAAAGACAAAAAAACCCCATCATCATGTTAAAATTTGAAGGGAATTAACATGATCAACAGAAAAATTAATATCAATGCTATGCTAAAGACACGCACGCAAAGCATTTATTGGCTTGGGTTAAATGTTTATTACTTCCCTTACCCAGGGAAGAAAAGCAGCAAGTGACTGTAAATTAGTATTAGGTATATACTAATGGAAAAAAAATAAAGACAACAGAGTAAGATCCTGACTTACTGGGAATTCTGAAATATCCAAATGCACTTATGTCAAAAGGAAATTGCAATTACCAAACAATAGAGGTAGCCTAGCAACGCCAAGGTTTTAAACTATTGTGCAAATTTCACCCTGCAAGAGAACAGAAGGTCTTGAATGGGATGGAGTCTAGTTTGGTGACATTTCTAGTATTTGCAGAGTAGCTATGAGGGAAACCCAGGAAAGTATAGCGACATCTATCAGATAATGGAGAGCAGGGGAACATGAGAAATTACAGCAACAGGAGGATTTAGAAACAATTCAAAAAGTTTGAATTTCTTAGTTGACTGTATATCAGTGTTTAAGACAACTGGATATTTAAACTGAAATTTGCATGCATGTTAATAATTCACTCCCAAACTACTTTCCAAAGTAGCGCAGGCTTTGTCATGAATAACTGCAAGCACCAAAAAGCAAAAAGTTTTAAGACTTCATGCCTGCAACAGGACTAATTGAAAGACCTCAGAAGTGAAGAATCCTTTAAACAAACAAGGAACTCCTGTCTGAAGGTTGTGGATGGCTAAACGAGAAGAATTCAGACGAGAAGGGCGAGGTCGGGGCCCAGTAACTAGTTCAGCCAGTGAGCCCTGAAGTGGAGAATCAGGCAAGGCCTTCAACAGTATGCAGAAAAAAAAAATGGAATAAAAAAAATCAAGTAATCAGCAACAAAACCAAGAATTGTGTGTGCGCCACTATTCACGTGCTTAACCTATGCATCCAAATATCAGAGCTGCAGGAGCAGATTTGCTATTACACACTTAAGTTAAAACAACGAGGAGTCCGGTGGTACCTTAACGACTAACAGATTTATTTGGGGATAAGCCTTCGTGGGTAAAAAACCCCAATTCTTCAGATGCATGGAGTGAAATTACAGATACAGGCATAGATATACTGGCACATCTATGCCTGTATCTGTAATTTTCACTTCAGGCATCTGAAGAATTGGGGTTTTTTACCC